TGATTAGATTACTTGAATGCTTTTAGTTGAGAAAACAAACGACAAAATTTAGCTAAGTTGTGAAAGCTAGATGCGAGTGGACTGAAAGTACCCCAAAGGCGGTCGAAACGTGAATAGTTGTTTCAGTAAAAGGAAAACAAGCAAAAGACCGACCACTTTTGACAAAGTGCCGCACTATTTTTACAACTGTCAATACTATGGGCGAGTTGGTACATCTGGGAGCCAATTTAAAACACCAGCACAGTGAACGCATTTGTGTTTCGTAGAAGGACTGCCCATCCGGTCAGCTTAATCGACGAGCCTTCCTGGACATGTACACTCATTTCTTCCCCGACGGAAAAGCTAAGGACTTCTACGCCCACCTCTTTCGCACCTTCGATCAGGATAACAGTGGCCAAATAGACTTTTCGGAGTTCCTCTCCGTAAGAACACCGCCATTTCCACTAGCGATAATTTGACCGATGTGTTAATCAAATGGGTAGATTTATTTTTAGCAAACCCCAATTGAAACACTCGACCATGTCTGCAAACTTTGGCGCCTTACGACTGAAAAGTGCTAGTTGCTTCAAAGCATACTTCATTTAAACAAGCACACGCACGTAGTGAGTTAGGTCACAATGGGAGTGAAATAGGTTTTTCATTAGTTTCAGGTTCCCATTCCAATGTAAATTTTGGTTTGATTTTAAAGCACATTATTTATGCAACCATAAAAGGCCATTCCATAAAGCGTCTTGTATGAAAGCTTGCCTTTGTTTTTCATAACCATCCTGTGGTGGTCAATGTGGTTACACATCATCGTGTACCAAATACACTTCCCTGCGCAGAGAGAGGTTTTTAACCACGCTAACGGTTGCTTGGCCAAACTGGTGCATCATTTTGCACAATGACCTTTTTCGAAATGTTCGACTAATCATTCCCTCGTAGTATTGAAGGGCCAGCATCACTTTCCTCGGAGTTTCCACATTACTTCAGAAAAAGGAGCCCACATTCTCATGAAGCAACGATTTGCTTCATTAAGATCCGTCGTCAGCTACGGACGATTGAAGTTGAGAATTTGTATGAATGCATTTGCATGCGAGAGATTATGTGTAGGCAATCTAGGAATTTGTTAAACTTACTTTTATGGATTCTCGTTGATGTCTTCACTTAATTTTGGCAAGGAGGTTGTATCTACCTTCACCTCAAAGCTTTCACTGCAGGTATATTGCCGAAATGGTTAATTTGGTCAGTAATGGAAGCCACAAATAGGCCACAGAGGTCATTTATGCAGGCAAGTTCAACGCGAGGTCATTCAATGGATTTGCTTGTGTACATTCCCCGGCTCCAGTCACCAAGACGGCACTTAATGGTTTACCTTGTAGGCCATCAGCATCACCCAGAGTGGCGGCCCCGAGGAGAAGCTTGGCCTCGCCTTTCAACTCTACGACATTGACGGCAACGGACACATTGAGGAGTCAGAAATGAATGAAATTATTAAGGTAAAATGCCTTCAACTCCCCCTCAAAAAGGCCTCTGCTTCAGCTGCAAAATTAAAAATTAGAGAATGTCCTAAATTTGATCAGATACGCAGTACTAATCCCAGTTTTGTAATATATTAAATGAACTCTTTCTGCAAAAAGTTTTGTGATAATAATAATTATTATTTTTATGTGCAACGACCAGCAAGGATGAGTGAGACGACTAGCAGCAATTTGGAAGCTCTCTTACCTTTCACTCGAGCACAAACTCAATTTGTAATAGCTGTTCCGATTTCGATGAATCGCATCATATTGAAATGGGAAATGGAAAGGCCATTTTTATTAATCTACTGACGGTCCTAAGTAGGTGGATTCATTTTCAATACGTAGAATGATTTCTGATATCTGCTGAGGTGGAATCGTCAGTCGACTCCACTTGGACTGGAAGAAATAATCACTCCTCCTCATGCAAATTCTTTCACCGAGAAGTGACTCTTAACTGTCTTAACCTCGATCTTCGTACCCTCCGTGGATTTCTGTTTCAAAAAGGCGGTGCTGTTCAGAAGACATTGCCTTCATTTTTCACCGTCCTTTGCTTTTTTATCAATCAAATAAACAAGAGGAGGTGAAATCGCGTTTAAACGCAACAACTTCTTCGTTGGTAACTGTACTGCATTGCTTGCATGTCTGTGGCTGCGTTTTTGGGAATTCTCGAGCACCTTGGGGCGTATTTCAACCACCATTTATACGCTAACATTGTGATCCTATGCTGCACTTAATGTTTCAACAGATTTGCACGTATAGCCAAATTTTGACGAAAATGATACTCCTGAGTGAGTGTCCATTTGTCATCATCACAGCACTGAATTGTGTGCATTGGTGATACGGCAGTCTTTGAACAAACGTCGGTGTGTGTGACTAAGTGAGTGCCCGACGTTGCAAGGCTAGTCAGTGACCGTGTGGTCGCAGATTGGAACTTGGACTATTTGCTGCAGGGTCTCTCACTCAAATGGTGTAAGTGACAAGGGTGTGTTGAAAGATAGAGCACGTGAGTTGAATTGTTCAATGCTTTGGTGGTGCCAGAATTTCTGAAGCGACCAGCGGTTAATTGTGTTGACATTTGAAAAGGAGCGGTTCGATGCAACGTCCGGCAGCAGAATATTCGACTTCCACTGCCTTAAATATTTAATCTGTTTCTTTTGCTTCCTCTCAGAAGCCCTCGGCTCAAATAGCACAATCAAATTTGTCGGAATTGCTCTCAACTCAAGAAACTCTCAATAAAAGAATGTTTACTAAGCTACTTTGCTCACAATACACATGGAAAGGAATTCCTAACAGGAATTGAACCATAGAGCTGGGAATATGGAGTTCATCTCTACTTCGGCGAAGATCTAACCAATTCCCTTGCAGTGCTTTTGCTTTAAAATGGGTTCATGAATGAATGAATGGCATACAGCGTGCATAGGGAAAAGTCCATTCTGTTTGCATTCGAAGTCACGACTCATCGGTTTTTTCTAAACCGGTGTGGGAAACTTTCTTGGTGTTAGTAAAGCACTTCATAGGCTGCACCCAAAACAGCACTCCGCTTTCCCACCATTAGGCTGGAAATTTCATTCATATAGAATTTTGGGTGTTTCATTGTTGCTTGTTACTTGCAAACCTTACTGAAAAGGCACACGGTTTAACAGATTTCTATTAATAATTTTTAATGGACCCTCAAAAGCGCTATTGTAGCAAAGTATTTGATTGTGAATGTAATTCCACCTAGAGAATTAGTTCACGTTAGTGTAATGCCCAGCCACTGTTTTGATACCTGATTAAGTCGCGACTGATACTGTCACTGCTAGGCCATCTACCTGATGGTGGGTGAGACGGACCCCAGCCCCGAGAACAGTTCGGAAGTGCGAACCCACGCGATATTCAAGAAGATGGACCTCAATTCCGACCACGTTCTCTCCAAGGAGGAATTCATTCGAGGCTGTATCAACGATGAGCACCTCTATAACCTCCTTGCCAGCGCCGGAAGTTAAACGAATTGAAGAGCTCGTTCCATCCACATGCCTCGCGTTTCGTTTCCTCCTTGCATTCGCCAACCTCCCCATTTTCATTGTCTTGTATAAATAATCCAATTTCGTCCACTGCCACTGACACATGAGTTAACCTCATCTGCTACATGTAATAACCACCTATGCTGTCTACACAAATGCAGGAAATTTATCTCGCAGTGATGGGATGAATGCAAATGTACAGTGGCATTACATGCAATCTAAACCAGTTTATCCTTGATGCAGTTCAAACCATTCATCTATGCTAAAAATTGCGGGAAATTTATCCAACTAGAAAAGCATCTGCACTCACTGCAGGGAGAAGCGCGAAGTGGAGAGGAATGGACGTCAGTCCTCTGTTATTCTGCACTCAAAAGGGTGGGAGCACGAGCGTGGTGAAATGAGGCCTTGAGGAGAACTACCCACGATGTCTATGCTGTTTAGGCGACCATATCCGTTTCTCGGCAAATTACAGTCTTTAAATCAGTGCGTGAACTCCACCACCACGCATTACTAGGGAAAACTGGAGCTCAGATTAGCTACATATTAAAAGAAGACAGTAGCTGTTAGACTTCAACGCTGTACCACCCGATACTAGGACTTCATGGTGGATCGACAGAGTTCTTCGATGTAACGAGCTTTACGGGGGGCTGCTATTAATAATATAAAGTAGAGTTAGAACTCGACAGTCATCGACAAGAGGCACGGCTGTCACAGGCAATTGACCAGCCTCAAGCTCGGTGTTTCACGAAACTCGCCTCAAAGCGACCCACCCCTGTGCGCGACACCGTTCTGGAGCCTTGTCCACTATCGCAGATCGCAAAGCCAACGGGCTAACAGAACTTTAACTATGGATGGGATGTATCTCCAGATTTCCTCCAATTTATATCAGCATTTTCATTAAGTTTCGTCGTGCATCCAATAAGTTGCTATCTAAGCAAATGCACACAAAATTATGGCAGTAAACTCGTCTTTACATTGACAATAAAAGCGCTATCAGCCATTTTCCAATCTGAGTTGCTGTCTCCGGTTGTAAGCGTTTCAGAGGTTCATTCCAAAGCATGCGTTGGAATGGAACAGGCGATAATAGTGAGGTAG